ACTCTACATTATCTCTGGTAAAAAAAAAAGAGAGAAGTACATGGTATTTCAAGAGCAGGTAAAGCAATATGACATTTTTTAAATGTTCTGGAAACACAAACAAACAAACAAAGGAGACAACAAAGCAAGGACTTTGTCATGTAGGACTTGCAAAAGAAAGCATGGGTAGGCAAAAAACCAAAAAGAGCTTGTTAGCCAAATAAATTAAAGGGATTAACTGTGGCTTTTACTGGTACACAGTATCAGGGGGTGTAGAGGGACTACTGCAAAACTAAAGAAGAGAGGCAATCCAAAGATACAATAAGAAGATTAATTTAATGATTAGTTGAGATACTTTTCTGAAATTTGCCTTCAAGATTAGATTAGATTAGATTAGATTAGATTAGATTAGATTAGATTAGAAAGGAAGACCCTGTAAACATAAATTAAGAACAGGTGAAAGAAAATTTGAATATACATAAACCAGTCCAGATTACATGCATTCTAGATTCCAAAGGATATTAGGAAACAAATTACTCTACCACTAAAATCATGGAGAAATTGAAACGTAACAGAAAATTAAAATAATGTAATATTAGTTTTACAAAAGGGAAAAAGTGATCCTGATAATTACCATCATGTAAACGTAACAGATCATTAAGAAGCAACAAAAAAAAAGAACTGAAAAGCTAGAGGACAATGGACTACAAGCATTCAAATAACAGAATCAGAGTGGATAGAACAAATACACAAGTTTACCAAAACTCTTGCTAGACAAAACTTAACCCTTTTTATTAAATAAGTACAATATTAGCTCTTGAAGGAACACAGTAGATGCAATACATTTGAATTATGCTTAAGCACTAGATCGTACTTCAAAACGATAATGAATGACTGAAAACTGTCTGAATGACTAGGATAGTGATAGAAATATAGCCGTGTTAGTCTGGGGTAGTTGAAGCAAAATGCAGGACAATGTAGCACTTTAAAGACTAACAAGATGGTTTATTAGATGATGAGCTTAAAAAAAAAAAAAAAAAAAAACAGCCCACGAAAGCTCATCATCTAATAAACCATCTTGTTAGTCTTTAAAGTGCTACATTGTCCTGCATTTTGAATGACTAGGGAAATTAAAAGGGAAATGAGAAACAGCTGTGGCAGTGGAAGTGGAAGTCAGCTACACCATCTCTAACTTCTGTGATATATATGATCCCCAATGAGATTACATAGATTCCTGAGGCTCTGTGCTGGTGCAGATTCCCAAGCTGCACTGCTGACCCTGCCAGGAAGAAGCAAGTAGAGTGGAGGCACTGCCAAATAAATTCATATGGGGAAAAAAAAGAAGTTGTCCACTCAGCAGGATGCTGAAGAACCTAGCCCTGCCCATCAAAATCCATAAAGAGTCTGGCACTAAATAATATAACTGGAGATTTCTACATAGGAGATATTGTAACCCACTTTGTTAGTTGCAAGGAGTGGAAAGGCCACAATAAATACACTAGCACATGAAAAGAAGGGAATTATCTTATCAAGTGGAAGACCAGTGCTAACAAGGCCAGTTCAATCAGAACGGATGTGACCCACTCTCAACAGTTGATGAGATGTAAATACAGAGAGGGAAAATTCTTTTTGTAGAGAGCCAGCCTTCCCAGTCCTTATTCAAATCCAGATTAGTACTGTCAAGTTTACAACTGAATAGCAGCTCTGCAGTTTCTCCTTGAAATCTGTTTTTTGGGGGGGGGTTTTGTTTTGTTTTTTGAAAGATGGCCCTTTTAAATCTCTCACTGAGTGTCCAAGGCAAATGAAGTGTTCTCCTGCTGGTTTTTGTATATTACCATTCTTGATGTCTGATTTTGTATCCATTTATTATTTGGAAACTGTTCAGTTTGGCCAATGTACCTGGCAGAGGGGCATTGCTGGCACATAAAGGCATACATCACCAGTGAACAAACCTCTGTCAGTGTAACTGATGTGATTAGGTCTTATGATGGTGTCGCTTGAGTAGGTATGCGAGTAGCGTTGGCAACAGGGCTTGTTGCAGGGATTGATTGCTAGATTAGTGTTTCCGTGGTGTGGTGTATACAGGCAGTCCCCGGGTTACGTACAAGATAGGGACTGTAGGTTTGTTCTTAAGTTGAATCTGTATGTAAGTCGGAACTGGCATCCAGATTCAGCCGCTGCTGATCAGTTTCAGCAGCAGCTGACTTGGGGACGCCTGGGGTTCTTAAGTTGAATCTGTATGTAAGTCGGAACTGGCATCCAGATTCAGCCGCTGCTGATCAGTTTCAGCAGCAGCTGACTTGGGGACGCCTGGGGTTCTTAAGTTGAATCTGTATGTAAGTCGGAACTGGCATCCAGATTCAGCCGCTGCTGATCAGTTTCAGCAGCAGCTGACTTGGGGACGCCTGGGGTTCTTAAGTTGAATCTGTATGTAAGTCGGAACTGGCATCCAGATTCAGCCGCTGCTGATCAGTTTCAGCAGCAGCTGACTTGGGGACGCCTGGGGTTCTTAAGTTGAATCTGTATGTAAGTCGGAACTGGCATCCAGATTCAGCCGCTGCTGATCAGTTTCAGCAGCAGCTGACTTGGGGACGCCTGGGGTTCTTAAGTTGAATCTGTATGTAAGTCGGAACTGGCATCCAGATTCAGCCGCTGCTGATCAGTTTCAGCAGCAGCTGACTTGGGGACGCCTGGGGTTCTTAAGTTGAATCTGTATGTAAGTCGGAACTGGCATCCAGATTCAGCCGCTGCTGATCAGTTTCAGCAGCAGCTGACTTGGGGACGCCTGGGGTTCTTAAGTTGAATCTGTATGTAAGTCGGAACTGGCATCCAGATTCAGCCGCTGCTGATCAGTTTCAGCAGCGGCTAACTTGGGGTCGCCTGGGGCAGAGCAGCTGGGGTGCTGCCGGGTTGGTCCAGTAGCGCCGAGGAGCGGCCACATTACTGGACCAACCCAGCAGCACCCGAGCTGCTCTGCCCCAGGCGACCCCAAGTTAGCCGCTGCTGAAACTGATCAGTTTCAACAGCGGCTGAATCTGGATGCCAGTTCCGACTTACATACAGATTCAACTTAAGAACAAACCTACAGTCCCTATCTTGTACGTAACCCGGGGACTGCCTGTAGTTGCTAGTGAGTATTTATTCAGGTTGGGGGCTGTTTGTAAGTGAGGACTATCCTGCATCTGTAAAAGTGAGGGATCATTTTCCAGAATAGGTTATAGATCATTGATGATAACCTGGAGAGATTTTAGCTGGGGGCTGTCGGTGATGACCGGAGATGTTCTGTTATTTTCCTTGTTGGGCTTGTCCTGTAAGAAGTGAAAATACTAATAGAGCTACTCCTCTGATACTTGTTGGGATCCCATCTTTTAAACACAGACCTTAAATTTACACCTGCTGATTTCTCAGGGAAACTGAGTAAATTCCCAAAATGGATTACCAGAAGAAGCCTAAGCAGACCCAGAACAACACTTTAGCAAGTACATTAGTGAGCATGAATAGGAAGGTAGAAAAATTGAAGATGACATTGCTCATGTCAGAAAATGGGGAACCCTGCAAGCAGGCCTGGGACTTACCCACCCCCAGCCAGTCCTGCCCTTTCCCAGGCCTAAACTGCTCCAAAAATGGCTTCTCCTCTCTGCTGAGCTCCCCGGGAAGGGTGTCTCACTCTTTATTGGTTGCCAAGGAGACTCTGAGTCTGTCCTTGCTCCCAATATCTTTCAGGGACAGTGTGTCTCTCCCTAAACTACCAGCGCACAGAACCCCAAGAACCTAGGTAATCTCCTTGAGGTTTACACATATATTCATATCAATGTCGAGGAACAGTTTTCCCTTACTTGATGCCTTCAGATGGTGAGCACTGAAGGGCAGGACCTAACACAGCTTTAGCACAGTTGCCAGTTAGAAAGCACTGCATACAGATAACAGGATCAGAATTCCACAGGTAGTTAACATACAACTTAAAATCTATTTCTGAATAATCAATTGTGAAATAACATATATTTACATTATTTCACAGCAACAAGAGTTTACTGGGCAGTTAACTATTTTATAATTAAAGGTCTAGCCATCATTATAAAAAGTGTTTACAATGTATTTTTCTTCCCAGTGAGAAAGCAATACCAAAACTTATGAGTGTCATATACATTCCATAAGAACACATACGATGCTTCACTTATTACTATCTTCCAGGAAACAAAGTAGACATATCACCACCTTTCACAAAAGTTACAGTGGAAAAAAGCCAATACAGGATAAAATAAAACTGAATATTTTCAAGATTATTACAGAAATTTGCCTGTACTGTATCATTTCTAGTTTAACACTGAACCTTTAGGAGCATCCCATTTTTTCATTTATGTTGGATATTAGTTCTTTAATTATCAAATTAGGAAAAAGATATAAATGATTTTTTATGCATTATATGGATCAGTGAAAAAGCACATTTTACCCTCCCTGCCTGTACTGCAGTATCAGTCAGCAGCAAGAAAGCAGCAAAATCAGGCAAAAACTGGGAGGAAAGTGGTCATGGGCCAAATAAGGAGTTAATTGTTGTTCCAGATTTTTGCCAATGAGAGACTAACTTAATTCTATTTTTTCCTCTTCTCTGTTAAAGGAATGCTGTATTAACTCTGAAACCAGAGGAAAGAAAATGTTGCATTTGGGCTCCAAATCATTTTTCAAGTTCAAATCAAAGTACTGTAATTTCATCTTCTCCCAAAAACCTTACACTCAGACAAGCACATATAAAAAAAACAAAACCAAAAGGAAAAATATTCCTGATATTTGTAGCATGAGAAACATTTTATAATGAGTTGAACTAGAAAACAGTATCCAGTCTATGACTAACATGTAATATTAATATTGTTAGCCTTTATTCTAACCAACAGAAATGTCCTTTCTACAGCTGCGAGTGAGTTTCTTCTCACTCCATAGCATTTTCAGCATTGTTACCTGCCTATGGACTTCTATTTTTGTATTAGCTTATGGGGACATTGTAAGGAAAAATATGTTGACTTTACCTTCACAAGACAGGCCATGAGAAGTGACTCCAGAGAGGCTCTCTCTGCACACATTACAGAAGGTAGGTCGGGCATGGGAGCAGGCGTACCAGTTATGCATCCCTGAGAAATGTTCCACATTAAACTGTGCGGTCTAGTAAAGGAGAAGTTAAGACAAATTTGCAAGTACAGAACACAGCTACAGAAACTGAAAGTACTTAGGAGCTCCATATTTATGCTGGAAAATTCAATGTGGACAAGTATATTGAAAGGAGACTAAAAGCTACCTCAGAACAAGAGCATAGTACCACGAACTGAACTAGAAAAATAAAGGTTCAAAACTGATTAACCTAACAGGTTTTTCACACTCCACAAGACTGTATGTCTTGGTTTCTGTGTACTGTAGAGCTTAGTATGTTAAATCAATATTTATCCTGAAAGAACAACAACATATATTGAAAGGGATATTATCTTACCTCATAATGTTCTCTGGACTGTACAGACTTCAGTGAGCTGATCCAGTCCTCCATCTCTTTTCTGTTCTCAGCACACAATATTAGCCTCCGGAATGGAGTTATTATCTGAAAGAGACTCCTCAATTTAATGATTCTGAATTTCATAAATAGGAGATATCATTACAGAATGCAACATCTGACAAGCCAATTTTTCTCTGTGATGATGCGAGTGAAATGCACACCCAAAATCTGTATGATTATGAAAACCTAGAATATCGATGAGCTGTGTTTTTTAAATCACTATCTTAAAATGGCAACATGAACTTTTCCCATTTTAAATTCTCTGGATTTATATCAGGATTTCATATAAACCTTTTAAAATATATACATTGATGTCTCTTTTTCAGCTCTTTATTCATAAGTAAATGTAAAACTCCCTGTGAAGCTCTAAAATTGCTAATAAATCTTTCTATAAATTATTTTAAACAGATGTCAGTTCTATTTCATAACAACATTATAGCAACTGCAAAATCTATAATTACTGTAGACAAAGACAAATCATATTGATAAACAAAAGACAGAGATTCATAAACATTCCCGCATTTCTCACTCCTACATGGTGATGACATTGTATTTACATAACTGTGGTAACCAAATATAAAAAATTGATTTATGAGTTAATATAGGAATATGCCTACACAAGCTGTACAATCAAAAGGTACCAAGCAAAAAACAAATAGCTCAAACCCTATGCAATGGTGCCTATGCAGTGCTTCAGTGCACTCCTGGAACAGGTTGATGTTGTGCAGGGTTCAGTAGTCTGGATTTAGATCTCAAGGCACTGTGTTCATCTTGAAATCTGAAGACTGCTGAATCTTGTAGATTCAAAGTAAAGGCATTTTTTCTTCGCCCACTAGTAGATAAATAATTAAAAATAACAGCAAGGAACCAAAAACTATCAGCTAACTCCCACAGATATTATTTTGAGCACTGCACTAAAATAGATATTGTAGTTGCTTTGAGAACAATGAAGGAATTTAAAATAAAAATCAAAGTACTAACAGGAAGAGTCATTTGTTTCTTCTGCCAAAATAAAAAAACCCAACTAAAACAGTGTTCAGTCTGGAGATAGATTTCATTGTCCACCGCCTACATTTGCAAATTATCTAAGTAAAAGCATAAACCACAGGAAAACTGCTAATTTTCTCTCACTTGGTGTTATAACATTCTTGTAACATTTACAATACATACATTATTAATAAGTAATCATTTGCAACTGTTTTTACTCACACGGTCACCACCAGATATCTTCTGTTCCTGGTTTGTGCTACACAGTTCTTCATTAAACTGAACTGCTCTTTTAATATATCTGACAAGCAACCTAACTGAAATACAGCAGACTACAAGTCACATGGAAGGGCAGCACGAACCTTTGAGCTTTTTTTTTTTTTAAATGTACAAGCTACACATGAAACTGAAGGATTCCACTCTGTTTTCTATTTCTTTCAGTCTTTGTTTTTTGATAAAAACCAAACTGTCTACTTCTTTCCTCAATAATAGTTAATGCAAAGAGCAATGCTTCTCTCATTAATTAAGAGCCAAATGGATGTTTTATTACTTCAAAATGTTTCTCTATGACAGCTCATCAAATGAAGCTCAAAGAAGCCATTAAACCATAATATGATCCTGACTCCAACAACAAGTGCCAGGCTTCATTAAACTCCTAGTTTGTACAAATACTTCCCGCAGCCTTTATTTCCCACTATACTGTATGACATCATAATACAAATACTCTTTTATAGGTTTAAAATAAGGACAAGCCTGTTTGGATCACACAGCTAGGTCAGAGCATTTCATGTCAATTTCTGCCTTTTGACTACTAACAGACAATAGTGAAACACATTTAATCTGCAAATACATTGAACTACCTTTGCTCCTTAAAGTTCTTCTTAGGAAAGCCTTGATCATCTTTCAAAAAAATATAGATCAAATGCATGTATTACTGATTTCTTATCTTTAGTAATATCATTTACATAAAATCCTGTAATTGAAAGAGTCAAAAATTCTCTTTGCCAAATAACTAATATGTTTAACCATACCAGATATTCCTATAACAATGTGGATTTTATTTAATATTTGTTCAAATCAGTTCTAGCAGGTAGTAGCAGAGTCATTAAGTTATACAACTGATGACTACATATGACTGTTAGATAAATTATTATTAGAGCTACTAAAATAAACTGGAAAGTTGGAAGAGCCCCACATATTTGTAGGTACAGGACGTATATGGCTATGAAGACTAATCTACTTGTATTTTTTCTGCTTCACAAACATCCAACAAGCAGCTTCAAGCTTCAGTCTGGTTATTGTAAGGGCCAGACATACAAAACAAAAAGAAAACAACCTGATGTAATATGAGATTAGGGATGAAAAATCTCGTTTAATTGGTTATTTGGTTAAACATATTGTTTAACTGGTTAACTGATTAAAGGGAAAGGGGGGAGGGGGAAGGAGTGTCTGGAGCAACCCCTGTCTGTGGCAGGCACCCTGCAGTGCTGGAGCAGCCCTCTGCCCCCAGCAGGCAGGGAGCTGCTCCAGCACCCACTGGTTAACCGGTAACACATTCACATTTCTATATGAAATAAAAATACCCATTCTAGAATAACATTGAGCTTCTGACCTCAAACCTAGAGAAGCAATGAAGACATGAGTTCAGGTTCTTTCCATTTTTAAGGGATTCTCCTGAGATGACAATGATCTTACAAATACCCAATCCCCACTCTTTTCTATTTACATTGAAGGCACTTCTATACAGAAACACTCACAAAAAGTAAGTTGAAACAACTACATTTAATTAAATTCAAAGTGCATTAACACTCTGTGTGGATGTTTTAATTGAGAAATATAGTAGTCTTAGTTCACTTTATCTTCCATGATCTAGTTCTTTTTTTGAGCCTTGATATAATCTTGGCGTTCACAACAAATTCTGGCAAGTAGCTCCACAGGGGAGGGGCTGCTGTGTGAAGAAATAGTAATTTGAAGTAGGAATAAGAGATCCTCCGGAATAGGGCTTTATTCCGGAGGATCGCGCCAGTCTAGACGCTTTTTTCCGGCTTTTCCCCAAGCCGGAAAAAAAGCGGCGGCCATGTTTATTTAAATCCCGCGGGGGATATTTAAATCCCCTGCGGATTTCCCTATTCTGAAGTTGGAAATTAACATGCCTCTTCCGGAGAAGGAGCCAATGTAGACGTAGCCCCCTTCAGTGCCCCAGAGCTGCAATGTCTCACTGACTGAAAAGCCTAAATCTCAGAGCCCTAGGCTACGCAAGGGAATTATTTCAAAATAACAAGCAGAGGGTCCATATAACCAAGCCCATTATTTCAAAATAACTCCTGCTTTTCATGAGGAATAACACTTATTCTGAAATTGTTAATTTGAAATAGCATTAGTGTGGACGCTCAGCTGCTGTTGTTTCAAAATAATTGGTCTCCAGAGGCCTCTCACAGCTTTACTTGTTGACAACTCCAATGCTCCCATTCTTCTTCAGAGTTTAAAGCTTCAGGCAGAAGGGCTTGTGGCACCAGGACAGCAATGCTAGCTCCGTGCCACACAGCACCCTTCACTGGAGCCATGTCAGACCCCAGGACTCCTTCTGTGCCTCCCATGGCTGCCAGCACTCCCGCAGCACCCTCTGATGCCATTGGCCAGGGACAAAAGATGGCACCGGCCTGGATTAGTGCAGAGATCCTGGACCTCACTGAGGTCTAGAGGGAAAAGACCAACATCCAATATCTCTGCACCAAGAGGAGGAATACCGACATGAAGAAAGGACACGTGGATACTGGACCAAGTCTGAATGAAAATAAAAGAACTCCAACAGACCTACACTAAAGCAAGGGAGGAAAATGGTCATTCTGGGGTGGCACCACACACCTGCCACTTTTATGAGCAGCTGGATGCCGTCCTGGGAGGGGAGCCAGTCACCTCTCTACCTCCCCATCGCCTTTGACTCCAGACAGGACATGCTCGTTGTCACCCTCCACGAGGGTGTGGTTGCGGAGGACGAGGAGGAGCAGGCCAACCAAGACATCATGCCTGCCAGCCAGGAGCTGATCCTCAGTCTGGAGCTGGTTTCATCCCTTACCCCCACAGATGTCTCCCAGGGCTCAGACAATCCCAGAAAAGGCAGAATAGTTATTTCAGGAGTTATTATTTTGAAGTAAGTTATTTCAAAATAATTTCCTAGTGCAAACATGCCCAGATGGGGCAGTAATTGGAGAAGGAGGTGGTATCATAATAGGCTCTTAAAGCAGTAGTGAGGCACCACATGGGGCAAAGAGTGGCTGCGGATGAGGAAAAGGAAATGTTAGAAGCTGCAAATAAAGGATTAAAAAACAATAATAGGAGACGAAAGAGTAAGTGTTCTCCCCTTCTGCAAGGGTTTCAAGAAAAGAGGATTTTCACACAGGCTGATATTGGGATTTTTGAAGTTTTCTAAAGCACGCACCTAAACACATACCCCAAGCAATATATATACTGTGTCCAATTCCTTGGAAATTGGAGAGTCATCTTTTATTCTGCCAGTCTGATTTTTCACCTAAAAGTACCGGGATCAAATTCATCCCACATGTAAGGAGGTGAAGTGTCCATTAAATTCAGTTTGAATTGCACCTGCTTCTACCTGGGCTAAATCCAGCCATTGGATTCTGTACATTCCTCAATCCAAAGTGTTTATATTATAAAAGATAAGCTAAGAATTGTAAAATGTAATAGAGATTATCAATTTAATTTAATTTTTTAAAATAGCATATTGCACAATTCTTCAAGGAACTTGTTACATAAGATTCCCAAAGGCCTTATGTATGACTCAGTTTCACAATGCCACAGTGGAGTGAGGTTATCATTACAACGTCGTGCTTATATACAAACACAGACTTTCATCCATTTTCCAATGGTCATTGTTCATCTTAAGTCAAAGGCCTTTATAAGGTAGATAATTTATAATTCATAGACTGTAACCCATGTCAATGTATGTAGATTAACTGGTTCATTTGGCCTCTGAGATGGGGTGGAAGCACTAGATATTATCACTACATATTTCAGACTGAGTTTATGTAAAATGATGTCTAGCATATTTACACACTTCCACAAAATACAACATAATATGATATTGTAATTATACTGTCAATACAGTAGTAAGAATGCTAACTCTTTGCAGGTCTTCTGGAATTCTGAATCTGATTTGCAGTTTCCCACCTTGGTGTGATCATACTCACAGCTTAATTTTTATTGTCTTAGCCTATCCTGTCTTAAGAGTGATCATAATACCATAAAACTACTGCCATCATAGTTTTGAAACTTGGTATATCAGGAATGCTGACTGATTAAGTAGTAAAATTAAAAACCAATTCAGAAAGCACAAACATGGCATATGCTAATGAAGAAATTAGCTGTGTATAGCTCAGAGGGGATTACAATAGTGATGGCAAAATATTAAACTTCTGGGAACACGATATTTATATTGAAAAGCTTTACAATGCTTTACATTACTATTAGTAGGCACATTACACTAATATCACTTAACATGGCCAATCTTATTTATTTAATATTCACTATAACAACACTGATCACAAGCAGCCTGTTTGTTCCTTATATGGTTGTCATAATTATTCTAATTTAGCAGTAGTTCATTATTAAATTGATGCTTAAAGTGTTACTATTATATTTAATATTCTCTATTTGTACTAGGAAGAGGGAGAAAACACATTCATCATTCATTCCCTTGGCACAGCCTGTCACAGTTAGTGGGCTAGCTGCACACTGTTCTGTCTCGGGAGTCTCTCTGAGTACATCTCCTACAGGCCTGAGGCCTTAACATATTCTGGAATTATCCTGGGATGACATTACATAATTCATCTATCCTCAGATCAGAACCTCAATTATAGCCCCCTGCTAACTAACTATAACTTAGTTAGCAGGTCCAACAGGGACTGGACTTTGCCAGGATTCCAGTTTGGGAGGCTGTGATAGAATATGTTTGCAGCAATATAAAAATGGCTTCTTCAAAACAAAGCATGATTTATTTTGCCCAGAAGGTATGCAGCACTTAGAAATGTAGACTTAAAATAACTAAGAGTCCTACACACATATTTCCTTAGCTAAGCTGAGCCTTTTCACCTATAGCTCAGGAGGATCTGGCTTATTCCCATCTTTGAGTGGGGAGAAACAGCATACATTGGTCAGACTAGTCCCTATGTGCAGAGACAGATTAAGGTTTCCTTGGGTCTTAGGCCAGAATGAGTGAGGGAGCCCTCCACTCCCACTGCCTGTTCTGCCCCTTTTCCTGGGCCCTCACCTGTTCCAACCTGCCCCTCTCCCGCAGACGCTTTTCCACCTCTCTTCCCCCTCCTCACTGCAGCCCAAATCCAGAGG